ACGAGGCTTGTTCCAAGCAGCAGCATTCAATGCAGGCCACGGCGAGCACCACCAGTCCATGCAGCTCAACAGAGGACGTTTCCGGTCCACCAGGAGCCTTTGCTAATGTGGACGACCTGAAGAACTTCTTCAGGTCGTCCACATTATTAGCAAAGGCTCCTGGTGGCTTCCAGCTCGTTGGCAATGCTATTCTATAGAATAGCATTGCCAACGAGCTAATCGACCCCGCGTCAACTCGGACCTTGGCCCAGCAGAGCCCAACAGGCAGCACGAGGCTGAGCCTCCGCGCGAGCTGGCGAAGCACGACGAGGCTTGTTCCAAGCAGCAGCATGCAATGCAGGCCACGTCGAGCACCACCAGTCCATGCAGCTCAACAGAGGACGTTTCCGGTAGCTTCGCCTGGCAAGAGTCAGAGCAGCTGCTGCTCCTCTTCCCGCCGCGCTGCGAGATCCCCTTCGGGTGCTAACGAAGGCTGCGTCCAGCGCCCTGGCCAAGGAGCTGCAGTGCATGGAGCGACTGGAGGCAAACAGCACAGGTGCTGCGGAGATCGGGAAAGCCTGAGCAACAGCCACTTCCTTGAAGCTGACACCAAAGAGCTCGACACAGGTCGCTGCTTGAGGTGCAGCACAGGGGGGAAAATGCCCAGCAAAGCTGGAATCTTGACCCTCGCTCTGCGGATGAAAGGACCCTGGAGTCGGAAGTGCTGCGGAGCTTTCCTCTTCCAAGACACTTCAGCGTGCTACTACCAGTAGTTAGTTGAGCGATATGCGGAGTATCCAAGTACGCTTACCAAAACGTTGGTATTGCTGAGCTGTCTTTTCATCCGCTCTGTGGGCTGAGTGGGTACGTAGCGCATTGAGGAGACCGTGCGTAACAACTACCAACCCGTATATCGCTTGGTGTAGTGGAGCAATGCCTCCGAGAAGGCCCCCATGAGCTAGGGCCTGTACGGGTGGTGCCAGTGCCAGGGTTTAGATGGTTCTGCTGGCATGGGGTGACGGACTTGTGTGGAGCCTTGCCTGCCTCATGCGAGAGTGAGAGTTGAAACCGCCATAGGTCAAGGGCCGAAGTCGCACGGCTTGGACCGACAGTCGCGATGTTTCGAAGAAGTCGGCCAAGTCGCAGCCACCTGGCCTATGGTTCTGAAGGGTCAGGCAGGGCTGGGGCGGCTAGGGCTTGCAGGAGTTAGTTAGAATTTAGGGGGAGTGGAGTGTGTGGGTTGTGGGGTTGAGACGCACTTTATATAGGGGTTCTGCATGTTTTCAGTGTAAGGGTTTGCGGTTTAACGAATCAGGATGATTGGTTTTGGATTTTGGGGGGATAATCTGTTTGTGTTTGCTTGTTTTGGGCGGCTAGGGAGGGCAGGGATTCCGGACAACGCTCCAGGTAGTACATTGGATGTTGATGAGGGTATAGGCTATAGGGATCGTCCGGGTTGCGATTTTGTGGTGTGGGGTGGATCCATGTCTGATCTGGGTGCGGCTTGGAATTAGCCTATTCCAGCTGAAGGCAACGTAGCCGTAGCACTTAAAACTTGGTGCAGTTTTTCAGAGCGCGCACACTCAGGGCCACTACCAACAGGACGGCCGAGAGCAGCAAGGACGGTCTCGCCTCGAAGCCAGGATGCTTTGGCGGTCCATTGGCGATTGCTCTCCATCCAGGGAGTATTATATTATATGATATATTATAGTATGTTATAGTTATAGTATATTATAGTATATTAAATAGTATATTATGAGACAACAACCCGCCCCCATTGATTGCACTTAAGCTCCAGAAACTGCCAGGATGGCCGATCAGCTTGGTCCCAGGATTCCAGAATGCCACCCTACCCCAGTGGCCGGCGGAAGTACCTGTCCTCGGTAGCACCTTGTCTGCACAAAGATGTTGATAGCATGGGCAAATGCACTCAGCCGTGCGTTCGTGACCTTGAACATTTCGGCCCGCAAACCGCAAAACAGCGGTAGGAAGCGCCAAGAGCACTGGTTTGTTGTACGCTGAGCTGGCTTTGGGCAATGCTGTCGTTCTTGCACGACACGGTTTGGACCTGGTTCTTGAAAACGCGCTTGGGACGACTGGAAAGTGCCGGTACCCGGGGCGATGTCCTGCTTCATGTCACAGCCTCTTTGATGGTCTCGATGTTTTGGCTTTTGATTTGCGGTGGGTCCAACCAACATACTGTAACTCTTAGAAACTGTTTGTCAATTTCCGAGATTTGTCGCCTGTGCGAACCCAGGATTCTGAAGAGAAAGCGGGCAATTGGCAGTCCGTATTGTTGCCGCGGGAAGAGCTTCCGCCCAAGAAGCCAGGGACTGTCCGACTGGTGCTTGTCTCAGACACGCATGAGAGGCATTTTGGCATCTTGCTACCCCCCTGTGATGCCGTGCTGCACAGCGGCGACATTCTTGCAAGCAGCCGATGGGCGCCCCAGAGTCACGCCGAGGATGTCCTGAGGGATTTTGGGAATTGGCTTCGTGCAACTAGCTGCTCCTCCAGATTCGTCATTGCTGGCAACCATGACTACTGGATCGAACGCCTCGGACAGGAGGCAGTCCAAGAGCTGTTGGGGGATGGTGTGCAGTATCTTGAGTTCTCCTCCGGCTCTTTCACTGTGGAGCTGGACCCCTCCAGTGAAAGCCAAGTGGAGGTCTCGGTCTTCGGAGCCCCAGTGTCAGCTGGCAGCAGCCCCAACCGAGCCTTTCAGCATGCAGAGGCATTGCAGCAGCTGGAGACCAGCTTGCCCAACAAGTCGGATATCTTGATGACACACGGGCCGCTCCTCTCCGGATCCAGGAAAGGACTACCTGCCATAGCCAAGGTCTTAGAACGCTTGCAGCCGTCTTTGCACGTCTGCGGACATCTTCACTGGCGCTGGGGTGCAATCGTTCCCATGTCGGAGCAAGTGCAGGCGACCGGGGTTTCCATAAATGCCTCTATCATGCGGAGTCTCGGAAAACTTCAGGGTCAACGCCCTCTCAACGCTCCGATTGTTTGTGATCTGCAGCTTCCAGACAAGCTTCCGAAGAGCACGGCCAATGACAAGTGCAGCTAGGTCATAATGGCTGTGCCGTTTTGCTCGATTATTGATCTGTGATCTGTCTCTGGCCAAAGGCCACGGCAGTCGATGCTTCGAGCCCAAGGGCGAATCACCAAAGCAACACAATCCGTAGCCACGTGGTTGGTGCGTTCAGTCAGACTTCAGACAAGGAACAGCTTATCTCAAGACTTGGGATATTTTCGTGTTCATGACGGTCTTCTGATAATCCAAAAGCGTCAACTCCCGAGAACAGTGCACTGCACATCATTTGACCTGGAGTTCACCAGGCCGTGTACAGATGGCCTGACATGAAGAGCAAGGCACAAAATCCGGCGCAAGCATCACCGGGGATGGTTTGAGGAGGTGATTTGTTCATCAGGTGTGTAGACTCTAGTGACTCTAGTAGACGTGTAACCATTGCACAGTATTCGGGTATGTTCCAAGCTGCACATGTCCCCTTCCCGTCGCTTCTTGACCGACGGCCTCGATGTAGGGATGTGGTCCATCCGCAGCAGGATCATGTGAGTTGTCCCACGGCAAACTGAAGCAAGACCCCTCGCAGAAACGCCTCCAAGGATTTGTACCAAGCTCTTCAGGCCCCGGCCTCAGCTTCTGAGCCTCCCCCAAACTGGCAGTCCTCTGAAAACTGCTTGTGCGAGGCGCAACAGGGGGCCAGCTGGCCGGAGAGGAAACTGGGCTGCACTGGCAGCGCTTGCCTACCCGTCTCATGCCAATGCAGAATCAGGCCCACACAAACAGAGCACAGAGCTCCGGCAACGTGCGTGGAAGACTCGTAGGACTCTCTTCGACAGCTTCCCAGGGTACTTGCCTTGGACATCCTGAATCTTCAGGGGTTGTCCTTTGCTCCGCGGAGATTTGATATCTAGCATGACCGGGCTGTCGCTCTGGGCGTTGTTTAGGAAAGCTGCGCTAATTCAGGGGATTGCAGCATTAATGCATCGTTTGGCTTCTTGCCACAAAGGCTCGTCACGCACGACTACTTCGACTACGCCTCTGGCCCGATCTTGCATAGTTTGGAAGAAACGTTTAGGGTTCGGTTCAGGCAGGACGACCGTTCACCACTTGCAGATGAGTTGGCGGAGGTCCGCCTGCAGGGTCAGCCTTCCCTCAGTCTCGGTCAGCAGCGACATTTTTGCACAGGGTTACGGTCAGGATTCGTGGGGATATTACCTGGCTATGTCACACCCCGGAACATGGTTACCTACAAATCCACCAGGCAAAGCGAAGACAAAGACCACAGCTCTAACTCCCAAGATGCTGAGGTTATGGGCCTGATCTTGATGCTGAACGCCATCCTAGTTGGAATACAGGTTGTGCCTCGGACGCAGAAGTTGTTCAGCTTTGCAGCTCCCGGGGGCAAGTCCGAGGTTCCATTGTGTGCTTGGCCCTGCAAGACCTGGCCCAATTAATATATCGTCTTCCTTTGAAGCATATAGGCCCATAGGCATCTAGCTTAGTCGTCTCTGCGTTTCACACCCCACCGCCGGATGTCTCGTGAACCCTTCAGACCATGAAAACTCTACAACCTCAAGGCAGGTTCGGACCGGTAGCCCTGAAGCAGCATGAGCCTTTAGGCCTCTCTCACGGGATCACTCGGCAATTGCGATGTCTGAACATCTGATAGAACGATGTTGCTGCGACGTTGCATGTCCTCCTCCAACATCTGCACAAGGCTTGATGCATGCTTGGTAGTATTGTCACTGATCTTGTAAACGATTGCGCCGCTACATGTCTGCGGACCTGTCCATTGCCAAGCTTTGCCAGCAGCATTGAGAGTGTTGAAAAAAGCAAAAAAAAACAGTGGCTTCCTGAAGCTGACCAGTCACGCCCATCAGGCCACTGAGCGCAGCTTGAAGCTGGGCTTCAGTTGCCGGGTCTCGAAACATGTCGAGACCGGCACGCCTCCACAAAGGTGCCTTTGCAGCGCTGGGTACGCAGAAACTAAGGGAACTGTTATCACTTGCCACGCGATACTCCTTTCTATCCTTGGGCCTTAGCTTTTGGGTGACCGTCCCATCCTTGCGGATCAGCTCCCGTCTCTGTCGTCTGGGTGCGGGAGTCCATCCGCAAGGATAAGCTGAGGCCCAAGGAGGATAGAAGGGAGCTTGAGCTGACGGGCGATGCTTTGCAAGTGAAAGGAGCCTTTGCTAACGTGGATGACCTCAAGATACCTTCTGGAGCATTGCCAACGAGCTGGAAGCCACCAGGAGCCTTTGCTAATGTGGACGACCTGAAGAACTTTTTCAGGTCGTCCACATTAGCAAAGGCTCCTGGTGGCATGCTCTGCAAGTGAAAGGCATGGATGACCTGAAGAAGGACGGCCATGGTGGCTTCCAGCTCGTTGGCAATGCTATCCTAATCGACCCAGTGCCGCAAAACGTTGCATACCTGAAGGAAGCCATCCGGAAGAAGAAGCCAGATCGATTGACGTGCGATGAGGTTGAAATTAAATTTCATCTGCATCGCACGTCAATCGATGTAATTAACATGTACAGCCAGAAGGAGGATGGGGACTGGATGCCGGAAGATGAAGAAACCGAAGTCAATCGCGGCAAATCTAAGGCAGATTGCCACGGGTTCGTGCTGCCACTCGCGGACGATTCTTAAGTTGCATGTAGCAACAGCATTCACTGACGCTTTATTGCGATGCGGCTTTGCTTGACTTCCAGGATTAGCAGTCAGCAGTTCAACGCTCACATTCCTTGAGC